TTATTGAAACTTGGCTGGCCTCTACCATTGGCAGTGATACATTCTCCCCCATGTTTGCAGTAGAACATGCACAAAGAGTCCCAGCACATGCTCCTCTGGTTGGTGCTCCTCCTCAACCCTTTTTGTTCAGACTCAATTATCAGGACAGAGATACCATTCTTTCCAGGGCCAGAAGCAATGGTAACCTGAAAATTGACAATGCTCAAGTATCCTTATTTCCAGATACCTGACCTTGGGGACCTGGTTGATCCTCGGTGCCTTAAACTCAGCTTAGCAGAATAGCAGGGTATTGCTCTCACATTTCCTTCCCTTTTTGTATCAGATTTTTTTCCCGCTTAAGTTGGGGCTCCTCCCATCTTGGGCTTTCCTTACATTTACCTGCTGCGTGCTTGTCCACAAGACATTGTGCAAACCCCAACCTGTTTTTGGTCCTGAGGGGACCTTCTGGGCTCCTGCCAGTGTCTTCAGTTAATAGTTTTATGGCTCTGTTGGCCTACAAGTCCGTAATAATTTCACTATTCCCTCTTTCTGTTTATGGTTCACCTGGGATGTCTGTGTTTAGTGGAGTGCATGTTGCTGGGTTTATCTTCCCTGCTTCCTGCGGCTGTCCTCCTGGTCACCCTGACCCATGTGATCTGGGTCCCGTCTACTGCCTACCCACTCATTGCTCCCTTCGGGGGGTGTTATATCTGTCCAGGATTGAGTTATCCTTCATATTTAATAAATATGTATTATGTCTGTCTCGCATAAAGAACCTTTTTTTATCCTGGAATGTAAGGGGCCTGGGAGATAAAACTAAACGGGGTGCTGTATTCCATGTACTTAAACATTTAAAACCATCTGTAGTATGTTTGCAGGAAACCCATTTGAAATCTGACACTGTCGGAACCCTCCGCTCTCATTTATTTCCCATACAATATCATTCTTTCCACTCCACGTTTTTTAGAGGTGTGTGTATCCTCATCTCTAACTCTATTCAATTTGTTCATGTGCAGGAGTGGATGGATGCGGAGGGCAGGTATATTTTCCTACTGTGTACTTTGAATGGGTTTCGCTGCATAGTGGCTGCGGTATATATCCCTCTGCCCTACTCTTCAGAGGTCATTAAACGCCTAGCTCAATTTATGGCCAATCATACTGATGTTCCCCTATTGGCGTTGGGTGATTATAACAATTGCTTACTCCCTAGCTTGGATAGATTGCCCTTGGGCGGTAGGAGCAGACAACTATCCTCTCAGCCTACCCCATTTTCTAATTTATTGGTGGAACTGAGCCTCCGGGATGTGTGGCAGATGAAGTATCCAACAGCAAAATGTTATTCATGCTTTTCTGCTACTCATGATGGGCTTTCACGCATAGATTTGGGCCTTGGGAACACGACTATCCTGCCATATGTGATTGATGCTGCGTATGAACCCAGGGCTATCTGACCATGTCCCTTTCTGGGTCAAGCTACAGGTGTGTTATATCCACTCTCGTCCGCTGTGGAAGGTGAACCCATTTTGGTTGACACTGTTTCCAGAGTCCGAGTTGATTCCGGGGGAGTTGTCAAGACTTTCTGCAGCAGAATGAAGGCTTGTCCCCGCCAAGAATGGTTTGGGATGCGATGAAGGCCTTCCTGCGGGGCTTGATTATCTGGGAGATTTCAGCGGTTAAGCGTAGATACAGGGAGTGGGAGGAAAAGGTACGTTTAGATGTTCAACAGCGGGAGGTTCAGATGATCCAAGACCCAAGCCCCTGTAACTGCACCTCCTGGAAAGAAGCCCAAACCCTTTATGAATCAGTGCTTACTCAAGTAGCAGATGAGAAGCGATATTTTTTGCAACAAAAATATTTTGAGGAAGGGGAAAGTACGGGGCACCTTCTTGCTCTTGTGGCGAAGTCACAACAAGGAGTGTCCACTGTAGACAAGATTGAGGATGCTGATGGAGTGATCTGCACGAGTCATGAGGAAATCTTGACAGTTTTTCATCACTTTTATGACGATCTGTATGCTTCTAAAACTATAACTACCCACTCTGAGCTTTTGCAGTTTCTAGACACCTGCACTTTTCCGGTTTTATCGGAGACTGACCAGAGAGAACTGGAGATGCCAATTACAGTTGAGGAGTTATCTGAAGCTTTGGCAGGCACCCCCAGTAATAGATCTCTGGGTTCAGACGGATTTCCATTCTAAATCTATAATAGATACGGTGCGCAACTTCTCCCGACATTACTCAATCCCCTGAATGCTGCCATGGATGGAAATGGTTTGCCCCAATCCATGAATGAAGCTGTTATTATAGTATTATTGAAATCTGGAAAAAAAAAAATCAATGAAACCTGATCCCTACCAACCTATTTCCCTTCTGAATACGCATGCTAAATTGTTGGGCCGGGTTCTAGCTACTAGACTGGCGTGGATTATTAGTAATATCAAACATAAAGATCAGTCGGGGTTTATTCTTTCTAGAGCACTGGCTAATAATATTCATAGACTTTTTTTGAATTTGCAAATTCCGGTGGACAATCCTGGGGGGGGGGGGGGGCATTTTGACTTTGGATGCGGCCAAGGTATTTGATAGTGTGGAATGGCCTTATCTATGGAAGGTATTGTCTAGATTTGGCTGTGGTCCCAAGTTCCTTAGCTAGGTGCGCCTTCTCTATGCGGCCTCTAGTGCCCTAATCTGGGTTAACAGGGATTTGTCAGATTCATTCAGGCTGCAGGAGGGGAACAAGGCAGGGTTGTCCTCTCTCACCCCTTTTGCTCGCTTTATCGTTAGAACCTGTAAAAAATTTTGATGCGACAATCTCCGGCCATCATCAGTTTTACAAGAGGTGTTCTTTCGGAAAACATATCCCATTATGCAGATAACACACTGTTATATTTGGGCGATACTTCCATCCTTAGATGCTGTTATGTCCCTTATTGAATGCTTTGGTGGATTTTCCGGCTTTAAAATTAATTGGCATAAATCGGTGTTGATGCCCGTGGATTCTGTAAAACTCCCCCTCCCGGCCTGTGCACAACACACTCCAAGTAGTGTCTACATTTAAGTATTTGGGGGTGGTAGTCTCTCCTTATCCTTAGCAGTATATTCTTTTAACCCTTTACCTCTAATCCATCAGCAGAAATTGAAGTGTAACAGTTGTTGCAAACTCCCTCTGTCGATGGTGGGTAGGGTCAATTAATTAAAATGATTTGGGCCCCGCAACTTCTTTATATTTTTCATAATTCTCCCATATGGATTCCTAAGAAATGGTTTCATCTCATAGAGACCCAGTTTAGGAGTCTTATTTGGAAAGAAGTCGCTAGGATAAAATTGTCTACGTTGTAATATGGCAAGGAGTTGGGGGGGGGGGGGGGGGGGTTGTCAGTTCCTGAGCCCAGACTTTATTTTCTGGTGGCCCAATTGCAGCAACTGGCTGGGGTTAGCCTGATAATACTGATCCCATTATTAGTTTGATTTCTCTTCCTGATCCCACCATTTCGGCTTTCTCATCTTGAGATGGCTCTACCGGTCCTTCCATCCACGGCTCCAACTGCAGACCTCTTGAGGTGCGTCTGGAGTATGGTAGAAGCATCCTTTCATATTACCGGCTTTCTTTCCTGTACTCCCTTGTGGAATAATCCGCAATATGTAGAACTGGCTAAACTGGAGGTCTTTCACGACTGGAGAGATCGAAGTCTAAAATTTGTATATCAGCTGTATTTGGGGGCAATCCTAAAGTCCTTTTCTCAACTGCAAATGGAATTTACGTTTACACATAAGCATTTTTTTATAGTGATCTTCAGCTACGCCATGCGATACAGGCTCAGTCTTCACTCTCTAATCTCACAGTGACAGACTCAGTTTTTCTTAAGGATGTCACTCAGGCAACCCATAAGGGCATGATTTCTCAGGTATACTCCCAGCTATTGACTACAGTACAGGATCAAGCTAGTCTCAGGAGCAGGGCGCAGTGGTCCCGGGATACTGAAGAGTTTACTGGAGAGGTCTGGGATGCTGCCCTGGAATTTCTCTTTCTCCCTCTCATAAATTGTCTCAATTGTTTATTCTCCATCAAGCATATAGGACCCCTGTTCAACTGTAGCGGTGGGGCAGGCGGGATTCACCTGATGTCCGAGGTGTAGGGTCCAACAAGGTGATTTCATTGATATGCTCTGGCGTTGCCCTAAGTTACATAGATATTGGAGTGAGGCTCTCCAACTTATTTCTCTAGCATCGCAATATACTGTTCCCCAGGATCCCTTGAATTGTCTGTTGAGGGCACTGGACCAAGAACTGTTCCAACCAGGAGGGTATATTATGGTATTTAGACTTTTATATCTGGCTAGGAAGTTGATAGCAAGATACTGGTCATCATTGGCTCCTCCAATTAGTAAGCAATTGATAGATTATGGTAATTTTTTTACTTCCACGGGAGAAACTCACATAACAACATCGCAATGCTTATCGTAAGTTCCAGGAGGTATGGCAGGGTTGGCTGGATACACCTGGGCTCGCCCCTCCTCAATTGAATTGATAGTGGACCAACTTCTGCAGGTATGATATTCTATATCAGGTGTGTGGCTCCACTCCTCCCCCTGGTGGAGTTCATGTGCATCTCCCATTCTTTTTGAGGAGACGTCTCGGGTGAACCAGAGGCTGTTGTTGTGGGGTTTTTTTTATTGTTTGAAGACATGTTTTGGGCTTTGTTCCTTTCCCCCGTTTCTGTTTACATCTGGTCGGGACAGAATAAGACAAAGGAAAAAGCAAGATATTGTCAAGAAAGTTTTGGATCCTTGTGGTCTGTTTTGTTTGATTAACATTTCTGTTAATTACCGGACCTGCGTATCCATGTTGTTCTAAATATAAGTAATCCTGCTGTTGCAGTAATGTGATTGTGGATTCTGTAAGTACTGTTCCATTTTCTCTATTATCTTGACAATAAACGTTGTTTGGATTAAAAAAAAAACAAAAAACTATACATCTCATGTTACATTTTTCAATTATATTCCATAATGAAACAGAAATAAATTATATAAAACAGAATACAAACCTTTCCCAATGTTTATGATTAAGATCTGATAAATCATCTAATTTAGCAATTTCCTTAAGGTACTGCGATAGCTTCAAAAGCTCTTTATCTTTATCCCGATTTAAATGAGCTTTCATGAAAGGTCTGATCTGTTACCAAGAGAGAGAAAAAAAAAAATCAAGTTATCCACAATATCAACTAGTGGAAAACACCATTCCCCCTGTCAGCTGTAGCATCTTTTGCAGCTTCTGTTCTACAGATATTAAAGTCCAACTTTTCTCTTTTTTGTTTTGGAAAGAGTAATAATTTCTGTAAGACTATTTTTGCTGCCTGCATCCCCAGTATGGGGATTACTCCTTGCTTTCCGTCCTGTGATACCAAGAAATGAGGGGATAGTGTCACAGAAAACAAAAGCTACAATCAAAAATAAAAAAACTGCACAAATTTTCTAAGCCTCCCCTCCTCTTTAGGATTAGAATTTGAGATCCTGTTTCCCAGCATCCCATCAGCAGCCCCAATAATAGCATACTCATCTAGGGAAAGGCACAGAATGATGGGTGTAAGGCAGATATTGTTTTTACATTGTTTCTGATGTTTTAACTTTAAAAAGCAGTCTTATTTGGGAGGGGGGTAAGCTTATAAGCATCCATCCTCCAATACCGATAGTACTGCCATCTACTTTAATTACACATTGGTTTGATCCGAAGCTTTCCCTGGCCGGTAATGGCTGGTGCACAACCGGCCGGAACTGAAAGTGACAAAGTACTAGTGGCTTCCGGCTTCTTATACCATAGAGATGATCAGGGACGGCCCAGCCCCATGTTCACTCTGATAAGTTTGGCTCATCGGTGGCAGAGAGGCATCGGAGGGTAGCGGGGGGATGGGTCTGTAAAAGCCATCCAACAGCAAATTAGAATATCATCAAAAAGTTAATTTATTTCAGTAATTCAATTCAAAAAGTAAAAATCATCTGTTATATAGATTCATTACACACAGAGTGATATAATTTAAGCATTTCTTTCTTTTAATTTTGATTATTAGGGCTTACAGCTAGTGAAAACCCAAAATCCAGTATCTCAGAAAATTAGAATATTGTGCCCAAGTTCAATATTGTAGACTCATGGTGTCACACTCTTACCAACTAATTAACTCAAAACACCTGTAAAGGTTTCTTGAGCCTTTAGTCTCTAATGCAGGCCATAGACGGTTCATTTATCGGCCGATTTTTTGTCCAAAAGAATAATCGGCCGATTTTTGCGGTTCCTCCTAATTTCTTTTATCGGTCATGCTGGAAAATGTTAGAAAAACTGCCAATTTTCGCAGTCATTGGTGGCAACAGAACAACCGACATTTAGTCGGCCGATAAACAAACCGTCTATGGCCTGCATTAGTCTGATTCAGTAGGTTACACAATCATGGGGAAGACTGCTGACTTGACAGTCCTGAAGAGTACTGTATCCAAGCATATTAATGGAAATTTGAGTGGAAAGAAAAAAAAGTGTGGCAGAAAAACCGCAAAAACAGGAATAACTGACCGCAGCCTTGAGAGGATTGTGAAGCAAAGGCCATTAAAGAATTTGCGGGAGATTCACAAGGAATGGACTACAGCTGGTGTCAGTGCTTCAAGAGCCACCACACACAGGACATGGGCTACAATTGTTGCTTTCCTTGTGTCAAGCCACTCTTGAGCTAGAGACATCAGCAACATCTTACCTGGTCTAAGAAGAAAAAGGACTGGACTGTTGCTCAGTAGTCCAAATTTCTCTTTTCCCATGAAAGTAAATTTTGCATTTAATTACGAAATCAAAGTCCCAGAGTCTGGAGGAAGAATGGAGAGGCACAGAATCCAAGTTCCATGAGGTCCAGTGTGAAGTTTCCACAGTCAGTGATGATTCAGGGAGCCATGTCATCTGCTGGTGTTGGTCCACTGTGTTTTAAAAGTCCAAAGTCAGTGCAGCCCTCTACCAGTAAATTCTAGAGCACTTCATACTTCCCTCTGCTGGCCAGCTTTATGGAGATGCTGATTTCATTTTCCAGCAGGACTTGGCACCTGCCCACACTGCCAAAAGTACCAATACCTGGTTTAATAATCATGGTATCACTGTGCTTGATTGGCCAGCAAACTCACCTGACTTAAACCCCATAGAGAATCTGTGGGGTAATGTCAAGAGGAAGATGAGAGACACCAGACCCAATAATGCAGAAGAGCTGAAGGCCGCTATCAAAGCAATGTGGGCTTTCATAACAGCTCAGCAGTGCCACAGGCTGATCGCCTCCATACCACGTCGTACTGATGCAGTAATTCATGCAAAAGGAACCCATACTAAGTATTGAGTACATACTATACTGTACATACTTTTTAGTAAGCCAACATTTCTGTATTAAAAATCTTTTTTTTTTTTTTTTCAAATTTGTTTTATATAATATTCTAACTTTGAGATACTGAATTTTGGGTTTTCACTAGCTGTAGCCATAATCAGCAAAATAAAAGAAAGAAATGCTTGAAATATATCAATCACTCTTTGTGTAATGGATCTATATAATATAGGAGTTTCACTTTTTAAATTGAATCACTGAAATAAAATTAACTTTTTGATGATATTGTCATTTACTGAGATGCACCTGTACAAGAAATCGCAGCTGTAAAAAGCAATACTGGGATGACGCCTGTAGCTGCGGGCATCATCCCAGCATACCACTTGAAACCCGCAATGTATATACAGTGGATATGGGCTGAAAGTGCACACTCTCAGGTTTAATTTGTCCAAAACTGTGCCCTTTGCCAGCATTCAATTTGCCCTTCCCTGATGAAGAGAACCACCTGCCCTAGTCTTCCTGGACCATTCTCTTGCTTCTCCATGTTTGTAACACACACCCAGTAAAGGAGGGTATACATCCAAATTGGAGGAAAGGTATAAGCATTACAGCTCTTAAGAGCAGCCATCCCTCCTTTTTCAAGGGAACAAAAGTAATTGGACAATTGAATCAAAAGCGGTTTCATGGCCAGGCATGGGCTACTCAGTTATTTCAACAATTAAGCATGCAAAAGGTCTGTAGTTGATTCTAAGTGTGGTATTTGCATTTGCAATCTATTGCTGTGAACCTACAACATGCATTCAAAGGAGCTGTCCATGCAAGTGAAAGGCCATTGTAAAGCTTCAAAAATGAAACAAATCCATCAGAGAAATAGCAGCAACATCAGAATGGCCAAACCAACAGTTTGGTACATTCTGAGGAAAGAACACACTGGTGAGCTCAGCAACATAAAAAGGCACTTTCAGCCCATATCCATTATATAACTATAGTTTGAATACGTTTTGGTAAATAGCTGAAAAAAAACAAAAAACTTGTGCCTGTGTCCAAATCTCTCCTTTTCCCCTTCACTTATATTAGTTTGGAACGAGCAGCACTTAATTATATGCACTGCTCTGTGTATGCTACAATTCCCACAGTCCATTGTGGAGGGTGGCTACATTCCTACATACAGTGGGACCATGAAGAATGAATGTAACAGGATCACATTTTGATTGAAGCAGCAAAAAAATTTAAAAAAATTGTAGGCGGTTGAGAGCATCAAAAAGGTACTGTTATTAAAAATACATGCTTAAACAGAATTTTCTCTTTTATTAAATCAGAGTTTACGGTCACTCTAAGCTCTGCACAAATTTTATGTCTGTTGTCAGGTTTTGATAGTGTTTAAGGTATCACTGTTTCAGCACTGCACAGCAATGCAGTAAGGCCTCTCTCTCAAAGCCCTTGATAGGGCAAGCCTGTCAAGAGATATCATGGTAACTGTCAATTTAATACACTCGAATACATTTTGACCTTCATCACTGAAGTAGTTTGTAACAAAATAAATTTCAGGCAGACTTTCTGAAAGGATAGGTCACATTTAGAAGCATGTTACACCCATATTTAGGGTGCAATATGTACCATGCTCCTATCCATATGCCCTCATGTGACAGCAGGTCCTTTCCCCGCACCTGCTGTCACATTTTGGAAATGGTGCAGCTGTACAGGGCTCCATCCGCACAGCCATGTCATGAGAAAGCTATAAGTGCTCTCTGCCAACGCTGCAGATCGCTTTTACTTCTCAATGAACTGCAAGTGTGCTGATGAGCAGAATGTAGTTCATGCACAAGCCCTGCAGCTTTCAAACTGACAACCCGTATGGAAGGTACGGGCAGAAATATTTCTGACATTGCACACGCGATCTATTGGACACAGGTGCAATGCTCTGCAGACTACTGTGAAAATATAATAAATGCACATTTATGTCCTGCAAAAATATGTACATTTTTTATATTTTCACAAAGGTGAACTTGGCCTTTAAAAAGTGCAACATACAAAAACATAATGCAGTTGCTTGTCTAACTTTATAATATTAAGAGACTCCTGTATCCCTCCATTTCAATGAGACAAGAATGAATTTCCAGAATAAATGTCACTCACCTTTAAGCCATTCTGGGGATTCATCAAGAAATTTCTCCCTATATCATCGAACATTATAGTATTTTTTTTACTGTAAAATTCAAGATATTTTCCCCAAATAACTCCAAGAGGCTTTACCTATTTAAAACAAAGAAAAATGTTATATAGAAAGGACTGATTCTGTTGCCACAATGTAAGTTCCTAAAACAAGTACCCAAAGCACTTGCCGTAAGTAAACTACTTAATAAGCTAAATCAGTTGACAGATAAAAAAGGACACCACAGGCTGTACAATTCTGATGGCCAGTCAAGCAATTCTGATCTGAATGGCCATAACCTACAGCTAGTATTTACCAGAAAAGAGGGTTATTACCTTAACATAAACAAGCAATGTTTTATACATGGCTAAAAAAAAAAAACAAACAGCTGCCAAGCTAAATACTCTGTAGATGCTAAACACACAGGCAATGTTTAATTTTCTAAACTTTAAAATGATAAGTTCACCTTTGGTAACATGTCACACCTATGTCCAGGGTGTAACCCCCCCCAGCTTGCATGTTATGACAGCAAGTTGGGAAGTCTCCATCCTGTTAGCTGTCACAATTTTTTTAAAAAATGTGGCCTTACAGGGCTCCACCTGGTTGCGTCATTCATTCACAGTATTTTGTGACTGGGAAAACTAGAAACTACAAGTTCCGACAGCCTTCCAGCACTCAACAGAGCCATGGTAGTTCCTTGACTTTTCCTATCAGTGTGTATCTGTTTGCCCATACGAGGCACAAGCATGCATATACACTGACAGGCCTGCAGGAGTCCTGCATGGCACCAGCGATATGCAAAAAAAAAAAAAAAAAGTGCACTTATTATTTGTTAAAAAGGTGAACTTATCCTTCAATCTACAAAAAAAAAAAAAAAAAAAAAAAAATCACACGTTTCAGTAAACATTTTCAAATCGTCTACATAAAGAATGGTAGCTGATGGTAGCTTTAAAAGTGAAAATATGCTGTGCCCATGCAAAGCAATAGGCTCACTTAACTTCGGGCAATTGTTTAGACTCAACTTTACTTCACGTCTAAATATGTAGCAATGTGACTCATTGCCACATGACAGTGCTGGTGTTTGTGATTGCCCACTTAGGCACTCAGTGCTGTCACACGGGGTGACGAGAAAGACCTCACAGCTCTGTGAAAGCTGCATGACACAACATTTCAGTTTGCATGGGGCTTCTTTCCAGGTGAATTAAAGGAATGCGTGAGCAACTGTGGGAGTCATTAACCTGGATTTGTTGACCTGCCCTGCATGGCAGTACCACCTGCTACAGCCAGCCCTTCTATTGACCCATTACTATGATCAGTGCCCCACTGGCCAATAGGAGTGAGCAAACTTCAGTACTATCAAGAACTGCCAGAATGTCTCAATATTTTCAGCCATAAAATCTGGGTCCCAGAGGCTCCTACATGTGCCAGAATTTTATAGCTGCATAAGTTTTGTTTTTTTTTTTTTCTAAGAAGACTGAAAATCATTATGCACCTGCATATGCACTCATAGGTTCACTTGCTGGATAAAAGGCTCCGCAGAGAAGTGTGACAGAAAAACACAGCATAAATGGATAATCCCAAAGCAAAGAAAGGACTTACATCAATAAGACCTCTTCTGGGTGTGTGGACAGTAATCATGGCTGCACTATCCAACATAAAAGTGATCTTATAATTGGCATTTGTGCTGACGCCCAATTCCTAGAGAAAAAGAACACTGTAATGAGCAAGCAGATAAGTCTTTAGTGCCTCAAAAAAAAAAAATTAATAATGTCAAAGGCACATCAATAAGACACCACATTTTTTTTTTTTTTTTTAATGAAGACACATTGGTACAGATCACCCATGACAACCAGGAAAATCTGAAAAATAGGTGGGACTATGAGGACACAGCAAAGTGTATAATCAATAAAGGACCAGTCAACCAAAAACTAACATTTTTGTCGTCAAACATTTGAGTATCCACACAAAGAAAATTAGCCAGCATTAAGGCCAGTTCACACTACAAAAATGCACTCCGGATACATTCCGGATGCATTTTTGCTTACAGTTCACACCACACGCAGTTCCGGTGCAGTTTGCCATGTTCCAGTATGGTTCTGTGCAGAAAAAAAAAAATGCAGCATGTTCTACTTTTTTTTCTGCACCGGAAACTGACTGCACTAGTGTGAGCTAGGGCCACTGGAATACATGGAAAACACTGTACATGCATTTTTGATCCAGAAAAAAAAAAGCACACTGAACTGCATCTAGTGTGAACTAACCCTGAATATTTTTTTTTCTTTATTACAGGTCATGTGACTGTTTCACTGGGCATTGCACGGCCTGGCCTGGACCAAGCTGCAGCACATCACCCTGATGTCACCAGTAAACACTCCTCCAAACTGCCCTGTATTCAATGGCAGTGCTAGCAAGGCTCTCAGGAGCTGCCAGAATGCTTTTAGTGAACTAGCAGTGCTCGAGTTTCTGGGTCTAGAAATCTGTTACGGCAATTATCAGGGTTTTCTCATTTATTTTACAGACACACAACGATGGGTGGAAACAAAATGCCCAGGTGATGGAACAGTGTTATTATGGCAGAGAAATATCCAAGACCCCCAGACTCCAGCTACAACTAAAATATTACTGTTGAGCGTACTGTAAATTTAAAAAGGGGTTTGAAAGGGAACTAATAACTAAGAACAAGAAAATATGTCAAATTACAAATACAACATTTCAAACAGAAATGGTTATAAACATGAGCAGGTTCTACTTACCTTCATTTTGGCTTCAATCCATTTCATGCTGGTTGCCGCTAGTGAAAAAAAATGAAAATCAAATCTGGGTTTATGCAGACAGACATTAAAGGATAAGTTCATTTTTGTAAACAAAGTAATAAATTCACATTTTTTGCACGTAAAAAAACGTGCATTTATTTTGTTTTATTAGGAGACTGTAAAGCATTGCATCCACGATCAGCAGATCACAAGTGCAATCTCAGGCTCCTGCAGACTGTCAGTGTATCTGTCTGCTCGTACATTGTATGGGCAGGCAGTTACGGAATGACAGGAAGCATCAATGAACTACCTAGAGTGCTCATCAGCGCCCTACCAGTTCATTGAGAACTACAAACTGTCAGCTGCAAAGGCTGATGGTAGTTGTAATACTCCCATTCACAGAACTCTGTGAAAGAATGACACAGCCGGGTGTGTGGAGCTGTCACAACGTGGGATGTGAGAGCTGCTGCATCAGTAACATGATACACCCTGAATACGGGCGTAACATGTAACGTGGTAGGAAAGGTGAACTTATCCTTTAGCCAGGCTGCCCTAACATAGCCTGCACTGGCCTGTACTCCGTGCGCCCAGAGGGGATCCCTTGCAGATGATTACAGGGTTAATTGTACTCCATAAATACAAAGTATATGCAAGTGCTTGGCTGTTTTACGAAGCACAGTGCAATGCATGTATTGAGATACCCCACACCATGTTTAGTAAAACAACTATAGGCATTTGAACACTACCCTACTGCTACCTATATGGTCAACAGGTAAGGAAGGGGCCACGTCGTTTGCATATATAGCAACCCTATGCAAGCAGGCTTTGGGCAACTTAATAAACGGTCCTCAACATGAGCACTAGTGGTACTGTAATGTAACTTTTGTGCATTTTGCAGTGTGATGAAGTCTGCAAACACAGCAGTTTTTTTTACATGCAGATCCTGCCAGTAGACCAGTTATTTTTCCCAATTCCTAACTGGCACTGTTAATCTAATACAGTGTCAGTTACAGTTTGGACAAACCATATAACATTGTCAAGGATGATTGCAACTGCCAGCTTTTATTCATGTGGTTTAAACATTGTAAAACAAAAAAAGAAAGAAAACACACAAAATCAGTTACTGTAACTGCTTACAAGGCATTATCTAGAATTGGGTTTCTAGGGCGAATTCAGCGCTTTACCACTGCAACAGCTCTTCGTTGCCAGCTGTGCTGTGGGGCAGAGTGAAGCTTTATTTAAACATACACTTCATTCACTGTCGTGCAATGTGATGTGCTGCGCTGCCTGACATTGCTGTCTGATTCAGGCCAATGTGATGTGATAAAATGCAGTATGTCTGCAATTTAGCGGTGATAGGTTGTGTTGCAGTGTCAATGGGACCCATAGGAAACAATTGTTTCCTGTGTGTTCCTGAGGTGACACAACGCATGGTGGAACATCTGTTACCGATTATAGTGTGAATTTGTCCTAAAAATGTTTGTTACTTACTTAAAGTCCATTTAAAAACTACATGTCCATTTCGGACTATTCCGTACACAAAGTGACAATGCAGCTGTGCAATTTTAATGCAGAACAAAAAAGTGGAAAAATAACTAAACTTAAGCAAATCATAGACGATGCAATTTTCTTTCCTGCCGCTATGGATGTTGATGTGGGAATCCCTCCAGATGAACTATTGTGTGCTGCTGGCAGGGAAACTCCCCTGCCCACAGAACACAATGATTACTGCTGGCGTCAGTAATCGCATGCAAAAACAAAAAAACTCAAAACAGACTGGCTGAAGTAGATCGATAAATAGACCTGGTACAACCAGCCTGCCCAGAGATGGATCGAATTTCAGTGGGTCCCTGCTGAACTGACTGAGATTCAATCCATCTATAACTGGCTTAACCTACTCAAAGGACCACCAGGTAATGAACTACATATGTCTTGGGGGACTCAGAAATATAAAAATTGCTGAATTAACTCTTCTGACAGATTGCATTGTGTCAGTTTTTGTCTATAGTCCAAATCTAAAGTCAAATAACAAACTTGACAGACAGGTAACCAGCCTTTTGAGATAAGGTCAGCAATTACAGCCTCCAAAATTAAACATAAATCCCAATAAATCTGAGACAAAAAGCTGATCTTACTTCAGTAAAGTAGACTTTCAGAAAATAATTTGACTGTCCAGTTTCTAATTTAAATTATTTTTTCCATTAAAAGTCTCACAGAAGATAGAAGAAAAAAAAAAAGACGGTGCAAAAAGGCATCTTAGGGACATGAAATAGTTTGGAACAACTTACACCATATTACTATGTCATAATCTTCATAGGCAGATGTAAGAAATTCATGTAGATATGGTCTCATGAGCTCTAAGCCAGTTTCTGCGCAGGACCGATGATCTAAAACAGCCCAAGAAAGAGAAGTAGAAATGCAGGATTGTAAGCAAATATGACGTAAAGCAACACCATCACAAATAATAGTCAGACCTTACGGTGGGTTACTGAGGCCACAGAAGTAGATTGCTGATGTGGGGTGGAGGGTATTCTCTGAGGCTCAGAAAATTGCATGTGAATAAACAGTTTAGGAACCTCAAAAGCACTTGACAGAGAGATGCAATCCATCTCTAAAAGGAATGAATGATAAAATAAGGAAGAGGCATACTAACCAAACAGAGTGTAGTCAACATCTAAAACCAGCAGCTTCTTCCCCTCTCTTGGAGGATTAAGGATTTCCACTTTGTATTCTTTGACACGGCGTGAAATCTTAGCCAGATTTTCCTCTCTGCAATTAATTACAGTTAGCAATGGTTTTATGTGAAGGAATTCATGGTCAGACTTTGAGTCCCACCATTTATCAATGCTGGGGGCAGAGGCTGCTTACGTGACTGCATTGTTTAGGCTGAGTTGGCATCTTGGGAAGAGGGGGGTTTCTCTGTTTGGGATCCTGACTATTACAAATAACTACAAGTGACTGAGCCAGACAGCATCTATCCAGATTAAAGTTTTCTGTTTTGGTTGGCTAGAGCTACTTACAAAAGTAAACCTGTGCTTACTTTGAAGCTTCAAAAGATGTGTACAGTAAGCACTTGAAGATGCCAGGATAAGCTGTCCGGACATATTGTCACAAACCCTGTACAAATACCTGTGAGCACCAAAATGGAGAATACGCTTAATATAAGAACAGTGACATCAAAATCTGAAGTTATGATTGGCCCCATCCCCAGCTTTTTAATATTAGACTATTATCGTGATGGACAGCTTCCCTGCCAACAGTGGAGAACAAGAGATGAAAGAACCAATTATGAAGCAAAGGCTTTGTTTGCATTTTAGAACAGGTTTCATATTACAACCATAGAGTATAACATAAAACAAGGTCACATTCCCCCCCAATTCCTACATTCATAATCACCTCTTAAAGTAGAACTAACGGCAAAACTCTTTTTCATTTTGGAAAGCATAAAAGGAGGGCAAGACCCTTGTCAGTTGTTTTTTTGCCATCTGTGTTCCATTGGGGAGATACCCCCTCATTTCCTGTTCCATAGCCTAAACAGAAAGCTCAAGAAAATCCCTCTAAAGTAAGGGAATTCCTGGTCATCACCAGAACTAAATGTCCTCATTGGAAGATTTCACCTTTATTACTGTTCAGGGTCCAACTCAAAATTTGGGATTTGCTTTCACTTTCACTAATAACGGTAAATAGGACAAGCAGAGAAGCTGAATTTCATTTATGGGACACAGCTCAGACAGCAATAAAAACCTGACAGGTGTTCTAATCCCTCTCCGCTCTATCCAAAACTAATAAATAAATTTGGCCTTTAGTCATACTTTAAAATGGTTGTAAACCCTTACATATACTCAGTAAAGTGACTGGCATCATGTGATACACAGAGATGAAAACAAATGCTCCTACTTAAGTTGTTCCTGTTTATCTACAACCGTCCGTCCCTGCATCCAAAGTGCAGAATTTACACAGGATCTTTCAGCTCTAAAAGGCAGGGGTTGGAGAACTGAAGTTACATTAGTGAGGAGAGCTCTGAGAGCTGATTGGAGGGAAGGGACACAATCCCCTGCACAAAGAAAAAGAACTGAGGTTGTTAATCAGCTGGAGAACCCTACCCTGTCACCATTTTTCTCTTGGCTTCAGGAAAACTCATCAGAAGCGACTCACTTCATGTCTGAGGACTACAAACACTTTAACTAATTCACTGGGCTCTTCTTCCAGCAAAATTATGTTTTGATTTGGTATTGCCATTCATGGCTCTGCAACTGTAGTCCACTATTTACTTCCTCCAACCCCCCTAACTGTAGGTCAGTACCTCTTTATGGACCTGGGACTGAGGGAAGACTATGCAGAAGCCTGTGAATTGCACTCGCAATGGTCTCCAGACTCTAGTGCAAACATTTATGAAATGTACTTTTTTTATTATTGCGGGTGAATTTGCATTGCAAAAGGTGGACTATTCCTTTAAAATCCATGCTTTATGTATAGTTCTCCAGAAAATTAAAAAAGGGGAAGGATCTTAATGATTAAGTCCAGGTTTTACACCGTGATTCATGATACACCCATATTTAGGTTGTAACATGAAACATGGTATAAAACTCTATCCCCAAAACCCACACTGCCCCCTTTCCAGAATCATGGGGTATATCCTCTAGGGCAGTGGTCATTAAATGGTGGACCGCGGTCCGGAACCGAAGGACAGTCCCATACGGACCGCAGCCATGCCACCACCGGGTGCCCTTCCTCGGGGCTGCCGGGCTTAAGATGACCGGGCCGCACAGAGGGAGGTAAGCGGCGACCGCAGTCTGGACTAGACTACTACAGACAGCGGCCGCCACTCACCTCCCGCTGTGCGGCTATGCCTAAAGCAGGGCCGACAGGAGGAGCGGAAGTGACAGCTCCAGTGACAAGCAGGAAATGCCACTGACACGGACACCTCCTCGGCCGGCTGCTGCACCGAAGGGACAACGGTGGCATTTCCTCTTCACCCACCGGCACGCTGTGACAGGTCTGTAGCGCTGTCTCTGCTGGACGGGCTGTCTCTTTGCTGGACTGGGCTGTCTCTTTGCCCAGTTGGGTCCAGCAAAGAGACAACCCAATCCAGCAAAGAGACCTCCCTGTCAAGCAAAGAGACATCCCATCTTTGCTATATATTTGCTGTGTTGTGTTAAGGTGCGCTGTGATGTAAAGGGGTGCTGTGATGTAAAGGGAAAGGAGGACACTGTGGGACTTCTTTAAAGAGGGGACTGTGATTTAGAGGGGACTACAGTGTGAAAGGTATGCTAAAGATCATAATGTACCAGGGAAGTGTGATGTGTAATATCGAGAACGAGGTTCGGACCTCTGCTGGAAGGAAATTTTGCTGACCGGACCTCCGTAAATTTTAATTCAAGACCCCTGCTCTAGGGTAATCCTGTTATTGTTTACATTTAGTATAATTGTAAAAGGCTCTATCCACGCAGCCTCATCTTTCAGGTCTGTTTTCTTTACATTCATTTACTGCAAGTCCCATCTGCCACTGTGACAAATGGGACTTTCAGAAAGTGTGTCAGAAATATCTCCTCATTCACTGCTCGGTAACCTGTGCACTGCACCCATGATGCACTGATTGTGGTTTTCAAAGCTATGCAGGCCCCAATGCAAAAATTTAGTTAAACGCATAATTTTTATTTGTGTAAGCGTTGATGCATTTATTAAACTTCTGCAAAAGGTGGACAATGCCTTTAATCAGAGTGACATTTTTAAGCTCTTTGAAGTGAAACTCATTACAGGGAGTAGTCTGAGCAGGGCATGATGAGAGGAAAAAAAACTTTTGGAGGAGACCGACATTGGAAGGCGGTATATTTCTTTCTGGAGTTCAAGGAATGATAGCTTGTATACAACGCTGCAGAATCAGCCACACATATGTGTAGCTCTGCCTCTTGATGACTGGTAGCTTTACACTTATAGGTTTAACCAACAAGGCAGAGCAAAACCTAGGATGATGCATAAAGAGCAGTATATTATAAAAAAAAAAAAAAAAAAAGAGAGAGAAGACAGATTGAATATAGAGTTCTGAGGTCTGTTTGGCTGCTATTGTTACTGTCCTTTGTCCATCATAATTGGGCTTTTGCACTGCCTCAGTGTGATAGGCGCTTTTCATTCTCATTTTTACATAGCTGTCATATCATAAGTTCCAGTAAAATACGATTATATTAATATTAAAATCAATGAATGTTGCCAACAGTGTTATACATTCTAAACTTTTACAGTAATAGAACACCACTTGCAATTAGGATATAGAGCTGTCACATGCAAACAACAAGACTCACCGATTTTCCACCTCCACCACCTCCTCTTCAATGTCAAAGTCATTTATAACATCATCATTTTCTGGGGGTGGTGCCATCACTTCTTCCTGCACAGATGTAACAAAAGATTACATTTAAACGATACGAGAAAAAGGCAGTAAAAGCATTGAAATATAATACTCAAATATAGTGAATGTTTGGTGCAATGCATCACCTACCCTTGGTAGATCAAAAGTGTTCCACCAAGAAAATGACCAATCGTTTTATCTCTCTCTCAGTGTGTGTTTGTGTCATTTTTGCTGGCTTATTTCCAGTTATGTTTTCCTTATAGTATTACACATAGAAAATGTAGCTTGCATTACCAAACTCTCCTCACGTGTCCCCATCATCATAATCTTGGTATTTGGCTTCAGCTTTAGAAACACCCAGTTTTACATCATTTTCTGCTGGCTTGCCTGTTGAAGACATTGAATGAAACAAAATTACTGATTATGCTCTATATAGACACATATTATTATAAGGGGTTCTCAAATGTTCTCCACTTCAGATGATAGTCTGGCCTTTGCATGTCATAATTAGTCCAAGTCCTATAACTAAAGATATTGGTAGATCGCCTTCGGTACAACCAAGGTGCCCATACATAGAATGAAATTCGTTCCATCCCTGCTGAACTGGCCAAATTTCTATCCATGTATGGCTGGCTTAAGTTGTTTTGAGGGTCAGTACAGGGCCAGCATTAAAACCAGACTGATAAGGTGTTGAGGTGGTTCAAAATTAGCTCTGGTGTCCACATAGGTATAGCTTCGTCACTCCTTACCAAGACTGCAAAACATCATTAATGTAATATTAAGCCTTCAGCTTTTCTAAGCACTTTCAGCAGCTGATTTAATCACTTATGGAGTATGCATCTTCTTTATCTTTTAATCCTTGCCTATGTTCCTGTTTAAGCTGATGTTATGATGCCTCTGCCCCAGGTTTCCTGTTTCAGGATTGCTTCCTTTATCCAGCAACATCTCAGAGCCAAGCTTGCATGCAGTGACTGGAGTTATATATCACTACACCAAGGTGATCAACCTGTGACCCATGACCTCACGCTCTGGGATGGTGGATCGGCAAGCCCAGATTAACGGGTTGCTTACCCACCATTCCAGAGCATCATGGAGCTGGCACCAGCCACGGAAGAAGCAGGAGCCGCATAAGCCAATGCTTCTGTAACGCCAGCTCCTGTCCCAGGTGGAGAGATACCACATGCACTTCAGCTGGGACTAGCAGCCTGGAGAGAGATACCAGCAGAAGCTGGAAGAGGAAAAGGTCACTGTATTAAAACATCACATATATTGCACAATTGCAACTGGCATATTAGCACTTATAAAAAAAGGGCTATTAGGCTGCTTTCAGACTGATGCGCTGGGGCTTATCTGCACCGCGGGTGCAGCACAGTATACCTGCAGCTTTCGTGTGGGTTAGCTGCACTGAATCAAAGATTTCTATTAAATCTTGCAGGGTGGTGAGCTTTCTGAAAGAGCACCAAAACTCCTGAATGTAGGAATTTTGGTGAGTTTTCAGAAAGTGCACCATACCTGCAAGATATAATAGAAGCCTACTGCAAAGCTCAGTTAACCCACAAAAAAAGGTGCACTGAGATGCACCCACAGTGTGAGTAAGTTGGCTTCTGCTCCTCTCCTTACCATGGGCATTCAGTGGCTGCAGGGGAAAATATTCATTATGATATTCAAATTAAAAAAAATTTAAATTCTGAATCATTTCATTTCATTGTGGCCCACAACCGGTTACCAAATCACTTAAGTGGCCCTCACTCTTTAAAATTTTGAGCACCCCTGCGCAACACAGTTTGCATCAATAGAAACACACAGCCCCATAACATTGGATGGCAAGACACTCCCCTGCTCCAGGTTAACAGTCTGATGCCAGAGTGCACAGTCTGTTAACTCTTTCCTGTAAAGACCAGAAGTTCAGGAAAGCAGCACTGACAGAGCAGTAGCCAGCAACATTGAAAGTTTTAAATTGAAGGTAGGGATTTTAAAAAATGGTTAAATGGAGAAATTTAATTTTATTGTGCTCAATGTCTTAAACTAAAACATACGGAGGGTTTAATACTACTTTAAAGCTGAATTCTAGGAAGTCCAAGCAGCTGAAAGATCTCTCCTGGGCTTATCTCTATTATTTAAACCTGACAGACTTATTGCTCTGCTGTAGACTTGGGGTTGTGAGAGAGCAGAAGGGCACACAGAGCAGCTATGCCCTCCCATCCCCTCTGCTACCGATTTAGAGATGCCTTTTTAATTTGTGAAGGTGTTCACATAATGGCTTGTGATTGGGCAGGAGGAGGGGAGGGGCAAGCATAGCAGCTACACCAACTCTCCTGTTTAAGATGCACAGCTCTGAAGGATCAGCGTCATTACCCTTCCGAACTACAGCAATTCTTCATGCGATTTGAGAGTTTCAAATCGCATCACAAGTTGAACCCTATTGTCCGCAATGGAAGCAGTCATATTGGTGTGATTCCAACTCCGTTGGAGTCGCATCGATTAGAAAGTACTTTGTACACTAATTTCTGCAAGTTCAGGTGCGACTTGTATAGACATCTGTGCATGAAATCGCCTTCAAGTTGCACCTGAAGTTGGACTGACATCCGACTTTGAAATTGTGCAAATTCAAGTGAAGTCACACTATTTCAAAGTCGGATTCGGTGTGCCTGAAGACTAAAACTTACAGTGTTTCAGTGTTTTTGCTTTCCATAAATTATATTTCTTACTTGCAATGTTGCTAGAAAATGTGACTATTTTAGAGGAGTCAATTTCCTAGCACAGACCTTCTACCTCCTTGAAAATCATCGCCCTTTCCTATTCTAGGAGTGATTAAAGCGGCGTTCCGGCCCCCGCCACCTCCCAAAAAAAAAAAAAATTCAAAGTCAGCAGCTACAAATATTGTAGCTGTTGACTTTCAATAGTAGGGCACTTACCTGTCCAGGCATCCAGCAGTGTCCTCACCCTGAGCTGATTCTTCAGTCAGCTGTCGGGTGCTGGCGCTGCCATCTTGACTAAGGGAAACTAGCAGTGAACCGCTGGTTTCCTACTGCGCATGCACAAAGCGTGCTGTGCTTTGTGAATGGGCTGCAGTCCGGTCTGAGACCTCGGAAGTGTCCCAGAGGGTTGTGGGGGAGATGGGGGTGCAAAACTCATGACTCAGTTCACCGCAGCGAACTCAGCTGGAGGTGGGAACCTGTCAAAACCAGGTACCTGCTCCCCACTCCCCCCCCCCCCACAAGGTGCCAAAGGTGGCAGTAGAAGGGGGGGCAGAAAAGAAGAGCTTCCACTTTTGGGTGGAACTCTGCTTTAAGTACTGTCTGTGCTGACCCAGCTCCACTAATCCTCTCTTCACCTCCCTAAATAAGCTATGATACAGCTGCTGGAAAAATAGCAAAGGGGAACACTAGAGTGACAGATCTGAGCCTGCTGGGGATGCTGACATTACATCGCAGATGGTGGCACCCAGCAGCAGTCTTGGGGCTTTTGGATGTCTATACAATGGAGGCTTTACAAGTAAATAACATGAATTAAACACAATCTATGCACATAGAATCCTATGGGATGATCTGAGTTGAAATGAATGGTCTAATGACAGGTTCTCTTTAACTGAAGAACTTTTCTTGAGCCCCAGAGCCCTGAGGTGTGCAGAGCAGACTCTGGGTGCCTGTCCTGTGGGTAATAGGTGATGCAGGGCAATGGGAGCCAGCTTTCCAGCTCACCCTTGTATTTGAGTCCCAGCAGCTTCTGCCTCTCTGGCAGCACCCCGGTCAGGCTCTTGAGGGAATGCTTCAGGTCCAGCACTGTGTCCTCCTCGGACAGGGCAGACAAAGGGAACTCCTGGCCGCTCCATTTGATGATCAGTGACAGGCTCATGGCTTTGCTAGCAGCCTCGGCGGCCATTACTGGCGGCTTTCCCTTCCTGGAACGTTACACCATCAAAGCCCGGCCACCGCCATTGACAGCCGGCAAGACACAACAACACACCGACACAAACCGGACGTGACGTGAGGGCGACGTGTTAGTGCGTCAGTGGCTGCGCTGCTAAGGTGCCCTGGCAACGCTTCCGGGTTCCGGGCTTTGCTGCCAAGCACAAGGTGGCTACCCTACTGTAAACGAGCCTGCAGTGGGAGAAAACGTGGGCTGCCTTTTTTAAATGTGTCCTTCTCCTGACTGTACACCTACCAATGGTTAACCACTCGCCTGCCAGCCACCTTCACCCTCTTCCTGCCCAGGCCAATTTTCAGCACTGTCTCACTTTGACTATTGTGCGGTCATGCAACACTGTACCCAAAAACATTTTTAGACATATAGAGCTTTCTTTTGGTGGTATTTAATCACCACTGGGGTTTTTATTTTTTGCTAAACAAACGAAAAAAGACCAAACATTTTGAAAAAAAAAATTTTTTATCTTATGCGGGCCATAGACTTGCGATAAAATGGACGAATTTTCAGCTGATAAAAAAATCGGGCAATATTTGGATTGTTAGTGGGGAAATTTGTTGTCCGTTTTTCGTGATTTTGAGACTTAAAAAATCGCCCCTGCTGGAAAATCGTCGGCCGATTTTGTCGTTCGGATGATTTGTGCGGCAATTATGGACAAATCGGCCGACCTTTTTGCTGATTTAAAAAAAAAATAGAATATGAAGAAAAAGAAGAAATAGAATATCAAGAAAGAATATGAATAAGAAGAAGAAAAATAAATAGAATATGAAGAAATAGAATATCAAGAGAAAAAGAAATAGAATATGAAGAAATAGAATATCAAGAGAAAAAGAAATAGAATGTCAAGACGAAGAAGAAATAGAATATGAATAAAAAGAAGAAATAGAATATGAAGAAGAAAAATAGAAAATCAGTCTGATATTATATTTGACCTTTAAAAGTATAGCAACGTTGTATCTATTTGTATCCCAATAGAAACATCTGTATCCGAAATGGCTACAAATAGATACAATGTTGCAACTTTTTCTTCTGCATATTCTATTTATTCATATTCTATTTCCTCTTCTTCTGCATATTCTATTTCTTCTTTTTATTCGTATTCAATTTTTCTTCTTCATATTATATTTCTTCTTCTGCTTCATATTCTATTTATTCTTCTTCTGCATATTCTATTTCTTCTTTTTATTCATATTCTATTTATTCTTCTGCATATTCCATTTCTTCTTTTTATTCATATTCTATTTATTCTCCTTCTGCATATTCTATTTCTCCTTTTTATTCATATTCTATTTCTTCTTCATATTCTGTTTCTTCTTCTGCTTATATTCTATATAATTGCCTTAGACGGACGAAAATCAGCCGACCTTTTTTTACCAATAGTGGTAATGTCGGCTGATTGAACGACCGATTTTTTGTTTTAAAAAAAAAAAAAAAACGGCCGGTTTTCTCCCCGTCTATGGCCTGCTTTAGTCTCTTATACAGTTTAGCAAACAGGTAGTTTTTGTCTTTCACTGATAGGCTGCACTGATGGGTACTGATAAGTGGCATTGATGGATACTGGTAGCACTGATGGGCACTGACTGGCAGCACTGAAGGTCACTGTTAAGTGGCATTGACGGATACTGACTGGTAGCACTGATGGACACTGTGGGGGCTGTACTGCCTCTGAGTTTTTGAATACACTTGCCGATTACCGACTCTCCTCTGTCACAGCATGAGGAAAGTGCAGCTGATAACCGGCAACTGTATTTACATTGTGATCAGCTGTCATTGGATACAGCTGATCACATGGTAAAAGGGCACTGTTGTCCCTTTACCATGTCATGTGATCAGCTGTGTCCAACAGACAGCGATCACAGAGCTCACCAGGGGGTGCGGAAGGTGCAGTTCTGGAGGACGTCATATGATGCCCTCCCAAAACTAGATGACCGCGCTGTAACTGTCATTCGACTATAGCCCGGTCGTCAAGTGTTAATAAATGTTAAAGTTATCAATTTTATTTTATGGCTCAATCACGTGGGCAGAAAAAGAATGGTGCAGTGTACAGCCTAGAGCAGGGGTGTCAAACTGGTGGCCCTCCAGCTGTTTTAAAACTACAAGTCCCACCATGCGTCTGCCATTGGGAGTCATGCTTGTAACCATCAGCCTTGCAATGCCTCATGGGACTTGTAGTTTGGCAACAGCTGGAGGGTCTCCACTTTGACACCCCTGGCCTAGAGTATTGTACACATCTCTATGCAGCGATATAAGGTCTCACTCACACAGACATACTTAACTCCTTGACTCTGGTGCCTCCCGGCCCTTACAGGGGTTTGTGATGTTGAGAGGCAGGTTGAGGTTCAGGGTCACGTGACTTCTGTGTTTGGCTGTCACAACAGTCACATGATTGGAAAGACCCCCATCTGCAAGTAGCAGTCCTTTCCATGAGGCGCTCGGTAAATGTGCTGGGAGCATGCAGGGTGCACACCAGCCACCAAGAGGCCACATATTCGCATATGCGCTGCGCCACAGAGTTCAAGCAGTAGTTAACTCCCGCAAGACAAGAAATGTAGGCCCCGGGTGGTTACACCATAGTTTTCTAGTATGCACCACATATTAGCACATTATGGCAGACTTACCTTAAAGCGAAGCCCTCCACCGGCACGCCATCACCACTGACAGGCCATTTGAATGTCCAGGCCTGATGACCTCACTCCCGCACATGCACTCAGGTGCCATGACACAACATTCTGAATTGACGGCATACTTAGTGTGCCGTCAATTCATGCGCCAGTGGCGTCACCAGTTGCTTCCAGTGTGAATATCTCCATCACGCGTTTATTATAGGCTTGCCTGTAGGCAGGACTTCTTTTCTCAGAGAAGAGGTGCAGGAACTGTGCCCTCTAACTCACCCCTTGTCTCGTCCCCTAAGCACCTCTGAGCACCGTCCCTTGGTTTCACCCCTACTCACCTCCCAGTACCACCCCTTTTAGACTCCTCCCCCCCGCATCAATGGACCCCCCATAACAAAATAAACCCCCTGCAGCAACAACACACGTCCCAGCAGCCAATACTAATAGACCCTCCAGCAGCCAGCAACAGAAGACCGCTCCCTCAACATTACATCCCTCTAAGCAACAATTGACCCCCAGCAACATAAAACCCCCCAGCAACAATATATCCCCCCACCAGCAACAATATACCTCCATGCAAAAATAGGATCCCCTCCAGTGACAATAGATCCCCCAGCATTAATGGACCTTCCAGCACTCCCCAGCACCCCTTGCCGTTACAAACATTTAGTGCTGGAGGTGCCACAACTCCGTTCCCCTGCGTTCCCGCTGAAAAAAAGTCCTGCCCGTAGATACAAATGAAAAGGCAGAGCTTACTACCGCTTAACTGTACAACCATTTGAGGGCCATGTTTGCCCGCATGGGTATGCACAGGCGTTCTGTCCATCCCCATGCAGACAGTCCTATTCGTTTCCTTTCACACGGGTGTTCTGTTTTTTTCATCAGTTGTCATGTTTTTTTTCCAAGAAAAAAATGGAACAGTTTACATCCTTTTTTTACATTCTTTACCATTGCAAAAACGGACCGTATGTCCGTTTACATCAGTTTTTCATCCGTTTATATCCATTTTTTGTCCATTCCGGGGTTTTTTACGGAAGAAAAATAGGGTTTTCTTCCGTTCAAAAAAGCAGATGTCAACAGATGCGGACATTAACGGATGTAAACAGATTTACATCTGCTAGTCCATAGAAATATGGACATGGGTGTACGTTTTTTTTCCGAAAACGGACATACAGAACGTCCTTGTGAAAGAGCCCTTAGGATGCAGCGGCTGCACAGTCAGCCGCTGTTCCCAATTTAACATCTATTTGGGTGCAGGCACGTGTCCCCGAATGCAGAGCAGGAGCTGTCAGCATAGAAAGTTGTAAACTGCAAATGTTGGGGTTTTAACAAATATTTTACTGGGGAATGTTTATTTTATTGTGTTCAATGTGTTAAACTAAAACAAGCTAGGGCTCCTTTCACACTTTTTCTTTTTCCCCTACTAGTAATGGTGGCGATCAGTGACTTTTAACGAGACTGCGGGACTGCGACAGGCATTCTGTCACTGGGGGGGAACTAACTTGGTGTCACTAACATCCCCAGTGACACCAATACAGTGATCAGTGCTAAAAAACAGAACTGACACTGTTCTAATAACACTGGGCAGGAAGGGGTTAATGTGAGGGGCGATCAAAAGGTCAACTGTGTGTAGGAAGTGTCAGGGGCGGACTGACAACTCATGGGCCCCCTGGGCAACAGGGGATCATGGGGCCCCTGTGTCCTTGCCCAATCTCCAAAAGCCTATGAAAAAGGTACCAGGGGCATCTCATGGGGCCCCCTACTGACCCCGGGCCCTCGGGCAGTGCCCGAGTTTCCAAATGGTCAGTCCGCCCCTGGGGAGTGTTTTACTAGGGGACAGGGGATGTGCTTCACTGTAAGCACACTGATCGGGTTTCCTGCATTCAAAAAAACGATTGTAAACTCAAATGCCTGTAAACGACTGTAAATGAAGATGTGTACATGGACACATAGGAAAACATTAGGGTGAGTTCAGGGGCTGCTGAAAAAAAAAAACGCTGAACAGCTCCTAAACATGAGTTTATCAGCTGCAGTGTACATGAACCCTAAGAGTTAACATTGTGCATTGTAAAATGCGATATATATGTTTTTTGAAACCGCATATCGCATTTTTATTGAGTTTTTCATGTGTTGTGTTGCATTTTAACGCTGCGCATAATACATTTTACATGCATTTTCCACCCTCAGCCACCTGGAAAAAAAAAAAAAAAACGGACTTTCCCCCCTCAGTCACTTGGGAAAGATGGACAAAAAAAATGTACTAATCCCCTCTAGACTGCATATCATGTTTCCAAGGACATTGCAACTCTATTTTCGGGGTTGCAGCCTTGCTGGTACCCTTGTGCA